TCGAAATATAAATATATACATAAACTTTACATACGCACGCGCGCGTGTGTATGTGTAATATGATAATCAAGGAACGGTACACATAGGAATCAATTTGTGTGTAGTCTACGCCCCTGGATTCTTGGTGACTGGCCCTGGTTTTACAAGTACCATATTCTGCTCGTCTCAAAGCAAAAGTTCAAATTTGCAACATAAGATTTGATTACGCAACTCAAAAACTAAGAAATTGTTGGATCTGTTTTATCGTTACTTCGATTAAAAAATATTTTCAGATACATTTATGCATGTGAGAATTAAAATCACATCTTCGTTGGCTATGAACTACTAAATACGTCATAACGTAGCCCTTACTTATTAAATACCTTGAATACGATACCTTACTTCTTTTTTTTATAACACTTGTATTTTAAATTGTAAATTTCTTAGTAAATGTTGTAAGTAGATCGATGCTTACTTATTAGAAAGTACAGTTACTGTACCAATGTACACTAACGTCCGATCATATAATATAATGTATCATGACGCTTTAATGACCAAACTGTATTACTTACACGCTTTTAAATTTATGTATTTCGGAATTTACGAATAATTTTTTCTAAAATTTCAGGAGATTGGGGAAAACTTCGTAACCTGTTAAGACTTCGTAGATCTTTCATTCTCTCGTGTATTTTGCCCCCTCCCCTTCTTTCTATCTCCTCCAACTCTGTAAAACGGGATTCTTTCCTTCTCTGGTCTGCCGTTCTCCGTATACTCATGTGTTGGTGGATTGCCTGGCGTCCATGAAGCCTTCTGCGACGTTGCCATGAGTATTCTAATAATGCATCGTTGCCGAGTTCTCCTGCACCATCTCGTTCTTTTTCTCTCGTATATATGCTTGCACGATCTCCCTCGCACTTCTGGCTGTGCACGGCCAGGATCAACCATATACCCTCCTCCGCCAACGGCCGACATCCCTACCCGTACTATACACAACCCCTCCTTCCCTTCTCTTCATTTCTGTACTGTTCCCTACCCAACCCTTCTCTTCCCTTCTACCCGGCCGCAAGGCAGCGAGTTTGCTTGTGCCCGATGCAGTGCTGTACACATCATTTACCTTACCTTCTATCTGTATTTGCAAAATAACAATTTGATAAAATTTAATAAAATCGCACGAATGCATACAAATCTGATACAGTAACATGTAATGATTGTCCTTATTCTATTTACATTAAAAGGAGTTTAGCCGATGGCAAATTCTACAATTTTAGGGGTTAGATGGCGAAACATATGGGCTACTCGTCAAACAAATGCTAAAGCGTGGTACATACATATATAAACGTATAAAAAATAGTTAAAAAATAAAAATCGTTCAACAAAAATCACATAATTTCTGTGACCTGTGTGCAATAACAGGTCACATAATATATACATACATGTAGAACGTTTATTTTATTTTGTAAGTTTCATATTGCTATGTTCGTATTGCTTTGATTTTGAATTTTTAGTATTTTTCATCCAACATTTCAATAGATTGAGAAAACTTTCTATTTCCACATCTTTTTATGGAATAACAAAGCTTAAATAAACGCAGAATTAGAAAATGTGTTTGCATAATAGCTACAATATATATGAAATTTAAGAATGTTACAGAGGTATTATTTACTATTTCAAGGACCATAATCGATAACATTTTGTAAAACAATCTATAACACATGTAAACATATCCATCCAAAACAATTTATGATATTTTTCGCAACATCTATTTAGGATTTGGTTCGTAAGCTATCACCTTTAAGTCGCGGAGATCTTTCAAGACTTATACATGTATTTCTGTTTTCGCCGTGCCGTTAGTACAAAGAGTATATGTTCCCGATTGTCAAATTCTTATTCAGTATTGTAAACTCCATCTATATTAATCGAACGATTCAAAAGACATTTACTGCTTAATAATAAGTATTGAAATAAGGGGAAAAAAGAGAAAAATGTGTCGAGGGCAATGAAGAGTGGCACTAATGGAACCAGGATAAAACGGTCCTGAGCTAGCGTAGACCTCCGTCCCCCGCGACGCTACGTTGTCGGTCGGTTCGGTTGCTCGCCCGTTCTCGTTCGTTTTCACCCCACTCTAACGTGTACGTCCCCGGTCCCTTATGACCCCACCTGCCCCGTGTCTAGAAACTTTACCCTCACCCCGCCGCATTCAATACCCCTTCCCCCGAATCTCTCTGTGATTCCGCTTTGCCTGCTGCCAGCCAGCCGTCCGTCCTTACGTCCGTCCGTCCACCGTTTGGATCTATGGTTGTGTCGGTGGATTTCGTGACGTTAACCTGGCGGCCCTGAAAACGTTGGACTGACCGTACGATTTCGACTACCCTTCGTTGGGGCGCGAATGTAAAACGCGAGTGTTTTTTAATCACCGTGGCCGCCGCTTAGGAATACCACGGAGTAGTTCGGGTAAGAGAAGAGAAATGTGTCGTAAAACTAACCAGTACGTTTTCGATCGTGTTCAACTACTGCAAGGAGCTTAGCTTTTACACAGTGAGGACAAAGAAATGTTGGTGTTCCGAAACAATTGCTAAAACATATTCTGCGCCCCTTTTTTATATCCTTTTTCTCGTCTATATACGCGCGTCTAATACACATATACTCAACATACACATGTACACGCATGCACGCACGCAAGCGCGAGCGCGCGCGTATGCACACACGCATACTTCGTAACACACGATCCTCCTTCATCCTTCTTTCTTCGAAAAATACGTGTGAATGTTCATAATTTCTCATTTTGATTCTCTTTACACATGCTCATGATTATCTGACATACACTGTTCAATTACATTATGAAGTGCATTGTTTTCCCCCTCTCTTCCTACTCTCTTTCCGTTTATTGTGTTTATTCTTCGGTTTGGATAAACAAGAAGAGTAACGAAGAAAGAGAAAACAATTATTACTGTAATTGTGTCTAAATTGAAACAGTTGAACGATAGTGCTGTGACGAAGTGTAATATTGAAATGTGTACGAATTCTCATAGTTGGGTACGATTAATGCAGAAAGTACACAATAGTGCTTGCTGAATGCTCGTATGCGAACGTTCATCTGCAACATTTCAAATGTATTCTAATCGACTGTGCATTCGTTTGTTGGTCGTTCATTGATTCGTGGTTGTCTGTGCCGTGGAAGTTTCTCTGACGTCTCCCAGTTTTTTCGTCGATTATTGGAATTTTTGTTTCTACTTTTGTACATCTTCAATACGCGTATTTTATCGTGTTATAAGGTTATCAAACGTATCGTGTTTATGAAGTGCTCCATAGTGTCGAAGTTACCGACTGAGTATTACTTGTGCTGTTTTCTTGTGCCACATCGCTCTGCTTGCTTGTCTGCCTGTCTGCGTATTTAGACTCTGCGTGTCATGTTCCTTTTCCATCGAAGATTTTAAAGGTGTTATCTCAACGGACCCAGTGTGTTTTGGTGTTGCACCAATTGTGATCTGTGTACCGGCTAGCTAATGTCTATCCGTACGCGACAATCACGTTTCGAATGGTTTCCGGAGCAGTGTGATTGTTCTGAAGAGTATTCAAGATCCTGAAATAGCGAATCTAATAATAGGCGATATCTTATTCCGACCACTTTTCGTGTGAACTTGAAGATAACAACGCAGCATGTGATTAATTTTTTGAAAATCGTACGTATGTTATATAATTGTTACATGTCTAAAAAAAAACGTTATCGTATTATGGATGAATAAATTAACATGATCGTTCTTTGTCAATTCTTAAACAACACCGTGAATCGTATTACGGGGGAGTTCGCGAACGGAACAAATGCAATTGTTAAACCATTGGTGACGTGTCGATTTGTATGATCAACTTTATTTCGTTTGTATACCGATACGTAAAGCATTAATGTTACATTTCACGTAGCAAAGGAAATCGGTGACTCGGATTGGAGTCGGTGACGAGGCTTATAATTTCTTATATTCTGCGAATGTGTTTGTCACAGATCACCGTATAAAAAATTCTTCCAGTCAATAATTCATGAAATTCTCGTGCGTTTTATTACTATCTTCGCCGAGTGTTCGTGTCATCCAGAATTCATTTTCTTCTTAGGTTAACGAAAGTTGACAACATTTTACGTTATCTCATTTCAATTGGCGGTACCTTATCCTGCCTTTGTGCGTCATTTACGTTACTGGAAAATTAAAAATTGATTTTCACGTCGCTTTAAAAATCCTGCTTAAGAAGATCGACTATTTAATTTTGAGTACACGCCCACTGTTATGTAAGTGATCCATACAAGAATCGAGTACCTTATCAGTTATCTGGGAAGTACTTTGATCGAAAAAAAAAAAAATAGTTCGATGTTGCGGTATTGATATTTCATAAATACAGTTGAATACCTTGAGAATTTGGAGCACGTTTACTTGAGTCGTGTATTTAAACGCATTATGTTTTTAATAATTAAAGTTCCCTATTTACTTTTTCTGTACCATTAACTTCGTTATAGACGTTTATAGTTTTCAGCTTAATTTTATGTTGATAAAGTTACTGTATTCGTAGTTTGCAAATTCTTATTAGACTTTACCACTGTTAAATTAGATATGTTACAAAATATGTCAGATCTTCCGTTTGTTTTTTTCTTTGGAATTTTATATTACTACACGAATAAAGGCACAATCCGTTTATTTTGATGATTATAGATTGATAAAAAGGAATTGCAAGCACATTCATTTTGATATCGTTTATCTTATTCGAAACGATCGTGGCATATTGCTATCCATAGATAAAATCTTATCCATTTTCCATGTGTTAAAAAAATTTAATTTGATATTGTTTATTCCTTAGACTTTGAATTAATTATGTTTTAGACGTCTTAGTGTACATT